AAGATATAGATCTTGATTCTGGTATCGAAAGCATTATTAATAATGTTAGTGATAATGATATCATAATAATAGTAACAGCAATAGTAATAATGATGATGATTATATTAACAATAATGATAATAGAAGCAGGAGTGGTAGTAGAAGTAATAGTTGTAGTAGTAGTAATAATAATAGTAATAATGATAATGATAATAATATCAATAATGATAATAATGATGATAATGATAATCATAATACTAAAGATGATAATAACAAAACTAATAATAATGCTAATACTAATGGTAATGTTAGTGATACTAATAATAACGATAATAATAATAGTAATAATAATGATAGTGATAATGATAATGATAATAATAATGATTATAATAAAAATGATGATAATAAAAATGATGATGGTGATGATAATAATATAATAAATGATAAAATAATATAATAATATAATAATAAAATAATAAATATAATGATAATAATAATAATCATGATCATGATAATAATAGTAATAGTAATGATAATAATAATGATGATATTGATTATAACAATCATCATCATAATAAAGACAATAATTATAGTATTCACGATAATGATAATAATTACAATAATAATAACAGTGACTATAAAAACATTAATAATGATAGTAATAAAGCTATTAAGAGTAACAAGAAACTGGATCGAAAGAAATGCCCAAGGCCGACTGCACAAATATGACACCGGCATCTGCACTTAATTATGGTAATTATCATCAGTATCTCATCAGCAGGATTAATGGTCGTATTAATTGCCACAGACGGGATGATGACGATGGTGATTATGGTAGTAAGTATGCTCTGAGTGATAGTGAAGATGGTGAGAACGATTGTGATGGGTATTATGTAAGTAATGATGGGTAAATTTGGTAGTAGTGATGGGGTGGGGATGGGGGGGGGGTGATGGTAGGAAGAACAATTTATACTTATTTTTATTGTTGTTATGGCTGTCATCATTATCATTGTTATTGTCATTATTGTTATCATTATCATTATCATTACAGGTATAATCATCATTGTTATCATTATCATATTATCATATTATTATTATCATTATTATTATTATTAGTAGTAGTAGTAGTAGAAGTAGTAGTAGTTGTAGTAATAACAAGAACACGAACAGCAAGAACAACAACGATAGAAATAACAACCGCGGTTATGAAGATAATGATATGAGTAATAATGATATTAAAGATTGCAGTTATAACATTCATAATAATAACTAATAATACTAATCAAAACAATAAGAGAAAATGCCTTCTATTACAAAAAAAAAGAAAGAAACAAAACGAGAAGAAAACACAATACAATAACAATAAGAAATAAAGATTCTGAGTAAAGTCCTTGACCTCGTTATTAAAATACACAAATAACCTAAATACATCTTGAATTTAGAGATGCCGATTTATTTGCGGTTATGTTCTTCAAGCTATGTTCTGCTAACATTTCTTCATAAAAGAATCGCCAAGCGGATATAACATACTAAGTATATTTCAGAAGGGAACTTTGAAACGTAAAAAGTCGACGTCAAATATGTAGCCATTATGAAGAACTCGTCACATCCCGTTTTCTATGAATTCGAGAGTGAATGTAAAAAAGTGGGAAAATAAGGGTAAAAAATGCACTGGAACTTTAGGAAAGAAATTGATATAGGAAATGTTTTAGCTTATATAGGCCAATAAGTTGTAAAATTAAAAGTAAAAGAAATGTGTTTCAACAAATTACCGCTGAGAATAATAATAATAGATTAATCAAGTTCCGTATATTCATGATAGAAATTAAGAAAAACGATCAAAACGTTAAAAAATCTGTACATATCAGATAAAAAAAAAAACAACGAAATACAATTATCACACAACAAAGCAAAATATTTAAATCGAAATCAAATGACGTCGTATCCCTACACACCCATAGAAAACGGATTTCCCAAACTGTATACAAACTCCCCACTAAGTTAGAGATGCCGTTTTATTTGCGGTTATGTTCTTCAAGCTATGTTCTGCTAACATTTCTTCATAAAAGAATCGCCAAGCGGATATAACATACTAAGTATATTTCAGAAGGGAACTTTGAGACGTACAAGAGAGCGGGAAATCGACGTTAAATATGTAGCCATTATGAAGAACTCGTCACATCCCGTTTTCTATGAATTCGAGAGTGAATGTAAAAAAGTGGGAAAATAAGGGTAAAAAATGCACTGGAACTTTAGGAAAGAAATTGATATAGGAAATGTTTTAGCTTATATAAGCCTATAAGTTGTAAAATTAAAAGTAAAAGAAATGTGTTTCAACAAATTACCGCTGAGAATAATAATAATAGATTAATCAAGTTCCGTATATTCATGATAGAAATTAAGAAAAACGATCAAAACGATAAAAAATCTGTACATATCAGATAAAAAAAAAAAAAAACGAAATACAATTATCACACAACAAAGCAAAATATTTAAATCGAAATCAAATGACGTCGTATCC